TTTGGAAGTGGCTACGCCGCGTCCTGCGTCATGCCCCTCCCTGCTGGCGAAGCTCAGGCTGAGAACATATGTTGCTCCATCTCCAACGGTATGAAGCGCCTGCAAGAAACCGGGATGATTCGACGATTCATAAATTGTCCGGCCGCACCAACAAGCATTACGCAGAAGGAGGTGTGTGGCGCCTTTTTCGGACCTCTGCGATGCAAACCGTATAGGTCCTTCCGAGGGTCGTTCTGCAGGCTGCCCCGTGTACCATCCGAGCCAAACCATGTCTCCTTCTGCTTCAATTGAACGCTGGTGCCGCGTTTGATGTTCCTATCTCTTGCCTCCTGTCCCCTCTTCTGCCGCATCCTCCTGCTGTTGCTGCTACTGGCTTCTGCACCCGCGCCCCGCGCCGATGCGACACGGCCGCGCCCGCGCTGTTGAGACACTTCAGCGAGTTTGGGTCACAGGAGCTCTTGCAACACATGTATGGCTAAGCGTTGCCATGTTCAGTACTTGGCCTTCTGTTGTAGCGTTCGGGTCTCGTGGCTTCCTTTAGGAGCAGTGGATTCATCGTACCCCTCGGAAGGGTTCTCGTTCGCGTATCTTGCTCTTGTCCGCCCTTCTCTTTCTGGCCAGCGCCTCCTCCTCCTCCTCCTCCTCCTCCTCATCCTCATCCTCATCCTCAGCATCATCATCATCATCATCATCATCATCATCATCATCATCATCATCATCATCATCATCATCATCATCATCATTATCATCATCATCATCATCATCATCATCCTAGCTGCCCTCATCCTCCTCCCCCCATATGCCCCTCATCATCCGTTCCCCCCTCCCCCCTCATCCTCATCATCACCTTCCCCCTTGCACCCCTTCTTCCTCCTCCTCCCTCTTCTCCTCTTCCTCCCTCCTCCTCCTACTCCTCCTCCTCCTCCACCACCTCATCTTATGTATACGGACCTGGTTAATAACCACCACCTTTCATCATCAGCAGCAATATCATCCTCACCATCACCAGTGTCATCGCCATCATCCTCATTATCGTCATCAGCATCAACAGCAGCATCATGATCAGCAGCATCATCGTCAACATCATCATCATCATCATCATCATCATCATCATCATCATCATCATCAGCAGCAGCAGCATTATCATCATCACTACCACCATCACCATCATCAGAACCATCATAGTCATCATCATCAGCAGCATCATCACCATTATCATCATCATCATTATCAGCATCATCATCATCATCATCATCATCATCAGCAGCAGCAGCATTATCATCAGTATCATCATCGTCATCATCAGAAAAACCACCACGAGCACCACCACCATCATCATCGCCACCACCATCACCATCTCCACCACCTTCTTCCAGGCGCATTCCCCTCGAGTCTCTTCGTTGGCCCCTCCCGTGGCATGCAGGCGCCGCCCGCATCCGTCCCCCGCTCCCCGCCGCCCTCCCGCCCTCCCGCTCCGTCCGCCGCCTCCGCCGCCGTGGCCGCCGCCGACCCCTCCGCCGCCTGGCCTCGGCGCCGCGCCGACGACGACCCACAGACGCCGGACGGCCAGCGCCCGCCCGTTCCGCTCCGTGCCCGCCGCTCGGCGACGCCATGCTTGCTGTTTGCTGCGCTCCCCCCCTCCTCCTCCGTGTTCTTTGCTGCGCAGGAGAGACAACTCGTGGCCAGTCTGGTGGGCTGCAGCCGCGACAAGGGACCAGTGCTCGCAAGCGGCCGCCGGCGCCCTTTCCCCCTCCTCGTGGTCCTCCTCCTCCTCCTCCTCCTCCCTCCTCCTCCTCCTCCTCCTCCCTCCTCCTCCTCCTCCTCCTCCTCCTCCTCCTCTCCTTTTCCTCCTCCTCCTCCTCCTCCTCCTCCTCCTCCTCCTCCTCCTCCTCCTCCTCCTCTTTCCTCCTCATCCTCCCGTTGCGCAGCTCAGCCTTGCGTGCGCCCTCCCGCCCAAGCCAGTGAGGGAATCTGGACAGCTCCCTCCCCGGCGGTGGCGCAGGTGGTTTTGGTGCGCCACCCGCCGAGCGAGGGGCAGCGAAGCATCCGAGCAAAATTTGAAAGGTCCCCAGAGGTCCTCACCTCCCAACGGCGCGTCGGGCGCTCCCGCGGCTCCTGCCGCGGGCCTCCCGCATTGCCGCAGGCGCCCCTCCGGAGGCCTGCGCGAGGAACCTGGCACAGTTCGGGCGTGTGGCATCTCTTCTCGGCAGGGATCATTGAGGATCTGGACGCCCGAAATGGGTACGGAAAGAATGGGTACGATGCCCAGCAGCAGTTCCTGTTCATTTTGAACAGGACTCGCTGTCCGCGCCGCCGCGGCCTGTGTCCATTCGAGACAGAAGGCCGCCTGCCCAACAGCGGCCCCTGTTGGTTTGGGACAACATTTGTTGTTGTACATTGTACCCATTCTTTCCGTGCCCATCTCGGGCGTCCAAAGAGGAGCATCTTGGATCATCCTGCGGAGAAAACGGCACGTGCGAAACCGAAAGAGGCACGGGGAAGGAGCGCCGGAGCGATGGAGGAGGCCCCCGGTGGTCCAGGCGTCAGCCTCCTTATGGCCAGAAGACAAGACGCGGGGTGCTCGTCGTTCGCGGAGGGGGGCCGTCCTCGGGCTGCGGGGCCGTGAAAAAAAAACGCGCGCGGGATGGAAAGCCCGTCCCAAGGACAAAACAAAAAACATATACATATCAATGAGCAGGCTTACGCAGAATAAAGTATATGACCTTGCATACAGTTCTAGTAATATACAACGCAGTGATCTGAATTATCGTTTAAGGGACGTAGTATAGTACACACTGTTATCTTACACAAGAGGAGAAGGATGAGGAGAGGAGGAGGAGGAGGAGCAGCAGCAGCAGGTCCACTGTAAACCCAAGACGCATCAACGCTGTTGCAATAAAGCCTCCCTCCAAGGTTCCGCCTCATAGGGCCATGCAGGCATGTGTCTTCATTGCGGCAAGTGCCACTTCAAATAGCCATCAGAGAGTCCTCAGTCGCACCCAGACACAGTTGTTGGGACTTCAGCGTCGCGAGTCAACGTTACTGGCGCGTCCTAACAGTCCTAACTCGTGCCAGACCGCAGTTTCTGGGAATGTACGCAGCGCTACGGCGAGAGCAACGTTTTGAAGATGGCCCGCCTTCCATCCTTGAAGCTGCTGCATTGTTTTAAAACGAAGGTGCGCGGCGCTACGGCGAGCACCTCATTTTGAAAACGGCCCGATCTCTATCCGCGAAGCTGTTGCCAAGTTCTAAGCTTCAAGATCACAAATCGTGAGGACGTCTCTGGCGAAACGCCCGGCCCGCCCTTTTGACCGGCCTCGGGGTGCGACATGGAAGAGTGATTTATAAGGAAAAGGAATGGAGGAAGGGGAAAAGGAAGAGGAGGAGGAAGAGGAATGGAGGAAGAGGAGGAAAGGGAACGGCCCGCCCTCTATCCGCAAAACTGTTGCAGATATCACGCTTCGGGATCATAAATGGCGCGGAGGTCTCGGGCGAAACGCTGGGCCCGCCCTACCGACACGCCGGGGGGCGCGACAGGGCGGAGCTGTCCAGAAGGAAGAGGGACGGAGGTGGAGGAGGGGGAGGAGGAGGAGGAGGAGGAGGAGGAGGAGGAGGAGGAGGAGGAGGAGGAGGAGGGAAAAGGGAAGGAAGGAGGAGGAGGAGGAGGAGGAGGAGGAGGAAAAGGGAAGGAAGAGGAGGAGGAGGAGGAGGAAAAGGGAAGGAAGAGGAGGAGGAGGAGGAGGAGGAGGAGGAGAGGAGGAACCACCACAGGCAAAAGAAGAGCAGGGGACAGCCTCGGCCTGCCCGGGCGGCGCTGCACGGCTCGGCCCAGCGGCGCGCCCGGGTGCGGGCCTCGCCGCGTCGACCGGCGGCGGCGACGCCTGCGCCGGCGCTCCGGGGCGAAGGGCACCGGCGGCTTGAACTACAAACCCTCGTCAAAATTAACCTGGCGGTTTCTGGGGGGGGGACGCTGGGACCCTAGGGGCGCCATGGGTCCTATCTGGTCGGTGTCCAGGAGGCGCGGGTTCCCTCGGGGAAGTGGGCGGCCGATAACGTTGCTTTGGTTTCTGGGTGAGGGCACGCTGGTAACCTACAACCCTCGTCAAAATTAACCTCAAAAGTGTCTGACGTGGTTGAACTGCTTGTCGGGAGATCTGGGGCCGAGTATCGATGAGGGCGGGGTACTTGCATGCGCCGCCCCTGCAATGTCGGTCGGCGTCAAAAATTCGAGTCGAGTTCGGTCGGACCATCTTTGCCCTCGCCCCGACATTGAAGGGGCGGCGTGTCGACATTGAGGGGCGCGCCGAAATCGAAATGACGTGCCAGCAACTGTTGAGGTGAATTTTGACGAGGGTAGTAGGCCAACCTCGAACAAGGGAAACAAAGACACACTGCTCATTTTTCTAATTCTGCGAATGTTCTTTGACTTTTGGGGGGGTCGAGATCCTTTCACTTCTAATTCTTCAGTCCTGGGCCTCTTCCTGGCCACGGGGGCCAGGAACAACAAGAAACGAGCACAATTAGAAATGAGCACGATTAGAAATGATCGACGTTTAGGCCAACCTCGAACTATGGAAACAAATAATGGCATAAACATAAGAATTCGGAGGAGGTCCTCGAAGCGGATTTCTCAGGTCCGCGCCGGTGCCCCCTGGCGGCGCTTCCGGCGCCGCCCCTGGCGCGCTCCGCGCGCCAGGGCGGGGGGTCCAGCGCCGATGCAAGAAATCCGCGCGGACCCACGAGTTTTTAGGTTTATGTCATTGTTCGTTCCCCTAAATGTTGGCTCAGCGTGTCTTTCGGCCGGTTCTGGCCCACCACGCTGCGGCGTGACACGCCAGCCATCCACGGTCCCTATGCCCAGGCGTCAGCGTCCCGGGCCCTTCCCAGCCTCCCGCCCCGCGGAGCGGAGCGACACGATATCCGCTCGCCAGGCATAGCGTGTCGCCGGGGCCGCCGCCGCGACACGCTAAGCAAAAGTGCCCGGACGCGCTCAAGGAAGAGGGATCTACGCGCTGTCAGACATAAGCGTCCACGTCGGGCCGTCGATTAACGGATCGGGATGAGCAACAGGCCTTGGGGAAGGAGTCGAGACAGCCTGGGGGGCCCGCGCTGCGAGCAAAAATCACGGTGCCAGCTTGACTGGGAATGCACGGGAAGGGTCTGGGGCACGGCGATCAGAGGGGGGCGCCCCGGGAGGAGCCCCAGTTTCTCGGCGGTGGCGACCACGGGTCGTCTTTCAGTGCCGTCGCCCGGAGCATCGGATGAACTCGGCTACTATCCCCCCCCCTTTCGCGGCATTGCCGCGGCCGCCGAAGACGGCCGCGCCGTCGACGGCCAGAGAAGCGGCCGCACCGTTGTCGCGCCGTTGTAGCGCCGTAGGCACTGCGGTGCCGTCCACCCGCGCCCCGCGCAGGGCCGGGCGGTGCCCGACCCGGGAGGTCCCCGCGCCGCTGCCGTGGCAGCCCGTGCGCGGCTCGTGCCCCCGCGGAGTGCGAGGCCTTCCCCGGGGACGGCGCTCGTCGTCCCGAGCCGTTCCCTGTTTACGATCCCCCAGGGGGGCGGGGAAGCGGTCTCTCGGGCAGGCCAGCTGCGTCCCACAGTCCCGCCGTCGCGATTTTGGGTTGCGTTTTCGGCGCCGTGTCTCTCGTGCCTCGCCCTGCTCGCGCGCCATGCTTCGCAAGGTCTGCGTTCGGCCTTCGCGCGCGACGGTGCTGCGTCGCTGGGGTCTGGGGGCCTGCCGTCTGTGGGTCTGTCTGTCTGCTGACGCCTCCGAGGCCGCCACCTGATCGGCGGAAGGGCACGGGGTCACCTGCGCCGACATGGCGCGCAGGCTGCCCGCGTGAGGTGGCGCGTGAGCGCCCTCGCCGCCAGTGTGGCGTGCCGCACTGGCGGCCCGCGCAAGCCGCCGCGTGGGGTCGCGATGTCGTCTCGCGTGAGGCCCGCGTGCGGGCCCCGCCGGCGCCAGCCCCAGCTTTTCGGGCTCGGGGGGCCGCTGGCGGGCTCGCAGCGGGGACCTGGGGGGGCCCACCCGGCTCGCGCAGGCGCGCCCTCTTTTCTTCTGCGGCGCCGCGCTCTGCTCGGGAGGCCTGCGAGCCAGGAGCGTCGGAGGAGCGCCCGTCGAGACAGCGGTGGCCCTCCCTGGCGTGGCCCCTCCCTCCCTGAGCCCTCCGTGGCACGGCTGGATCGGCCCCGATGAACAAGTCGGGATGACCTCCAGGAGGGGTCCATGGGCAGATTTCGAGCTGATTTGGGCTGGGCGGGAGCGCCGCCCTTGTCTCGATTGGCCCTCCTCCGAAGCATGCTCACACCCTCCAGGGTCCGTTGCGATCCGATCATCCCAGTCTGACATCCGGCCCGCCTGATCCTCGGTTCCGACGCTCTTGCGATCCGATGCGGCCCGATGCTCGCGTGGCGCTGTTGTGCACCATGGCGCGGCCGATCCGGCTCGATTCCGACGCCGTGCCGATGCGGCCCGATCCAAAGCACACTCCGATCCGATCCGATCTCCCGCTTGGATGCTGACCAAGGAGGCCAGGTCCGCTGCCATGCCTTCTGCGGCGCTGCCCCAGTTCAGGAAGTCGGTGCAGGAAACTTCTGCGCGGCAGGGCGCTCGTCGCGCCCTGGTGCTGCGCGAGCCCGCCACCGCACTTGGTGGGGCGCTGGCGGGGGAGAGTAGGACCGACCACAACTATCTGTTCCCCAACTGCCCCGGGCGGATCACAGTCACCAGAACCGGTCCCGTCGCACCCAGGAGAGCTCAACTACAGTCGATTGTGATCGGTCCCTCGTGGCTGCGATGGGTCGCGCTCGCGGGGGGGCAAGGGGGGGAGGCCAGGGGCACATGCTACGGAGCCCAGCACTCAAGACTTGGTTCGGGCCCGCGCGGAAAGCGAGCAACGGCGCGGAGACTTCATCGAGGAAGTGAGCGCACGTCGGGCTCGATGCGTCGAGGGGGGCAGGGGCACTGCACCGCATGGTGCGAATCCACCGAAGCAGACAGTGACCCGACACACCAACCGCTGCAAGCGCGGTGGCGGACGTCTGGTGTGCAACACGTGATCCTGTGATAAAGTAGATTCATACAGTAATACATCTTGCCCTAAGAAAGATTGGGGCACATTCTCTGGCGATCTTTGAGGACCCGGGGGTTCCCCAGAGCTTCCGTTGCTCTCTCTCTGCCCATCGGAGGATAAGAGATTGAGGGGGGCACGTTTCCTGACAGGCCCATCTCTCATTTGATGTGGCTACTGTGCCTGAGTTCATTTACGATGACATCAGCCCCGCTCGTTTGGTAGGTTCCTTCCAGGAGCAAGCATATAGTATGAGATGTATTCTGGGCGACCAGCTGCTGGCCGATGAGGAGCCTGAGGGGCGGGAAGGGAACCCGTGGCCCATCCGTTTCGACAGTTCGTTCAGCACGTTTCGGTGCGTTGCGTTGTTTCGTTCAGCGTCGCATTCGTAATCGTATGGGCGTTAGTTGCCGATACCAGTGGCAATGCGCAATTATTTTGTTCGGTTCTAGCTCACTCTCGTTGATTATTGCGTTCGCTCTGCCAGTGCATCAGTCACTCTCGTTTGCAATCGGTTGAACTCGCCGACGCACGCGCATTCGCATCCCCATTTGTTGTCGCATTGTACCCCCATTCGCTTGCGCCCATTTGTACCCAGCGGAGCCTGTGCAGCCAGAAGAGGGTGCGGCTGCTAAGATTCACGCTGCTATCTCTGCAACTGCTCTGGCCCAAGTTGTGTTACAACATGGCAGAGTGCCGCAGATGCCGTGGGCGCTGGTGCTATGGCACCACATGGTTTCGGAGAAAGGATCTCGAGCTCAGTCTCTGCAGTGCTGAACTGGACGGCATAGACAGCGAACTGCGGGACCGTTTCCAGTGGCAGCGGCGCTTCGCCGATGCCCTTAACGGCTACACGAACAAGGTAGTCGATGCGCTCCAGGCTTTAGTTCATGTGCACGAGGCCTTGGACAGTGCTGGCATCTGCGATGTGGAGGAGTCCGCAGCAATAGCGCGCGCCCTGAACAGGGGCTTCCGCGAGGCTCACGAGGTGGCGGGTGCCTGCCTTCTGCCTCGTTGTTCTCTCGAGCTGCTCTTGCTGCAGTGCCTGGTGCTGTGCACGCTGAGTGATTCATACTTCGGGCCACGGTGACCTGTAAAACTTGTGGCCCCAACACGAGCGGCCTACTTCTGGAGAAGACAAGTTTTGCCGAGCTGATCGGCCCACCGCCCGGGTGGGCTCCCAGAGCATTCGGGGCTTTCCAGAGATTGCCTCGCCTTCGGCGCATCTCGCCTTCGGCGGAAGCCAGCAGAAGTGTAGCCAGAGCAGCTCCGGCGAGAAGCCGGCGGCGGAAGTAAAGGTGAGACATCATTTTTTAGTCGTTTCCAGAGTCAGACGTTTGGCCCCCAGCAGAGTTGAATGGCCTCTTCACCTCCTCGCCGCCTTCCATCCCACCGCGTCTGCCCTCTTCCTCCCTCGCTTCCTCTCCCCTCCTGCCCTCGCCCCCGTCACTCTAACGCTCTTCTTAGCCGACCGATGGGCTGGACCTCTCCACTCATGTGCAAATGTCCGAAGACACCTACGGCGAATCACCGCCGACCCATACCTTTCGGATACGCTTATGTGGCGAAACGTTTTGGCAAAGTTTGGCCGCGCCATTGGACCTCGCGTTCCCCCAGCCGTCGAGGAAGGCCTTCGGGAACACGGGGGGGAGGAAGAGGAGGATGAGGAGAAGGATGATGTGACCTCTTGGGAGCTTATTGGGTCATCATTGGGGCCTCCTGGGAGCTTCCTGTGAGCTTCCTGGGGGCCTCTTGGAAGCCTCTTGGGGGCCTCATTGGGCCTCGTGGAGGCTTTTGGGGGCTTCTTGGGGGCGTTTTTGGCCGTCTGATGGCGCTCATGGCCTTTCGACCAATTTCCCCAGCCCCCATGCGCAAGTTCGAGGACGTCGAAGGATGAGTGCGAGGACGAGAGCAGGCACGCCAAAGAAGAGACCTGCCTGCCCAGCGGGGGTGCCCCGCGAGACTGTTTTTTATCTCCGACGGGCCCGCAGAGCTTGGTGCGCCGTGCACCTGACCAAGATCAGGGTCGACGGAGAATGTGCCCCCAGATCTCGCATGTAGCAAAGTTTCTTACAGTCGACCCGCATGGTAAGGATGGGCAACCGTCCCACTGGAACCCCTTGCATCCTTGCCTCCTCGGCCCATCCTTGGAAACTTCTGCTGGCCGCGCCCCGCTCGCAAGATGCCGACATGGCCTTCCAAGGCCCTTGCACCCTTGTCGCGCATCCTTATGGTGGACAGTGGAAACCCATGCCAAGAAACATCCCGCTTGCCTCCAGGGGGCCGTAGTTTTCTTTGGTTTCGATGGTTTTGCGATGGACAGCGTGACGCTCCCACACCAAAAACCAGTGGACGTCTGGGGGTCTCCGGGCTGGGTTTCCTGTGGCAGGTTTCTTGTGGTCGGGCTCCTGCTGTATAGCAAGGTTTCCTATCGTGTGCGCCCACGGCAAGCCCCCCTCGTCCGCGCACGTGCCTCGGGCCGCGATATGCGCGGACCCCCCCTCCATTCGGGGCCCCCCTCCTCGACGCACCCGGCCCCTCGCGCAGGTGGCGCGCCGCGCCGGGGAGGCCGGCCGGGAGCTGCTGAACACCCATAGCGTGACCCTGACGGCGGCCAGCGAGGTGCTCCAGGAGCACGGCGCCGCTCGAAGAAGGAACAGCGCCATAGACCTAAACTCTTGGTGGCGCTCCGCGCAGACTCCTCGGATCTGCGCTGGGGCCCACTGGCGGCGCCTCCGGCGCCGCCCCTGGAGCGCCCCGCGCGCCTGGGTGGGGGGGGGGGGCCCAACGCAGCTGCAGGAAATCCGCGCGGAGCGCCAAAAGTTGATGTCCGCGGCGTTCTTCTTCCTCCGGCTGCCTCCCCCCCCTCGGCATGGTGGGGGGGCGGGTCCTGGGCGAAGCGGGCCCTGCAGGAGGCCCGTCGCCGCTCCCGGGCCCCGGGGCCTGCCGCGGGCCCTGCAGGAGCGTCCACGGCCGACTCGGGACAAAGATCGGCGGCGAGCCCGGGCGGGGGGGGGGGGGCAGGCAGGGGGGGGGGGGGGGGGGGCGGGCCTGCTCGGAAGGCCGGGAAGGCCTGGGGGCCTTCTGAGAGGACCTCGGGGCCTTCTGCGAAGCCGGAGGCGTCCTCCCGGAAGGACGGAGGGCTTCCGAGGAGCCCCGCCGCCTTCTGTCGACTACCCGTAAGAGGGACCCGGGCCCCACGGGGCCCCCCGATCGCTCAACGCCAGGCGGCGGTGGCGTCTGGTTAAACGAGAAAAGCTGGGGTGCCCCCCAGGATTCCCCAGGGAGACCCCCACGGCATCCAGTGCACCCCCCACGAGGCCCAGAGGGCCCCCGGGGGCTCCGAGGTTCAACGAGAAACGCTGGGGGCCCCTTAAGGCCAGCTGGGGGCACCTCCGGCAGCCCCCGAGTTTCCTTTGGGGCCCGTTTCCTTCACGGCGATCCCCCGCGCTGCGCTCCCGGCGGCGCCAGGTCGGCGCGGGCGGTCGTTTACCCGACCCCCTGTCCCTAAATCGGGCATATCCCTCTCCAGGAAGACTATTCAAAAACAGTCAAAAAATTGGTATCGGGACGATGTTCTACTATGTTCGCTTCTTTGTCTGACTATGTGTTGTATCTGTCGTCCAAAATCCGCCTGTAGGAGGATATGCCCGACCTAACCCTGTCCCCGTCCCCATCCCTATCCAGACCCCCACCACCTCAGCACCCGCCTTGGAGATGCACCCCTCGAGACCCGAGGGAGAGGGCCTATACCGCTATCTAGGGGTGCACGTCGGCCAGAGGGGCGCAGGCCGCGCTCATGGGGAGGAGGAGGAGGAGGAGGAGGAGGAGGAGGAGGCGGAGGCGGAGGAGGAGGAGGAGGAGGCCGAATAGCGAGGAAGGAGGAGCGAGGAGCGAGTAGCGAGGAACGAGGAGGAGGAGGAGGAAGAGGAGGGGTCCATTAAACGATGCTCAGTGATGGCTGGTCCTGCGTGGGGTCGCCCTTGCGTGTCGCCAGAAGCCTCCACCCACAAAAAAAACACAATCATGAGACATGAGTACAATAAACCCGCACAGTAAGGATGGGCAACTTCCCAAGGTTGCCCCCCTTCGGCCCAGCATTGGCCGCTCTCGCTGGCCGCGCCCCGCCCGCAAAGTGTCGGCATGGCCTTCCAAGGACCTTGCATCCTTACAGCGCATCCTTATCATACGGGCTTACTGTGTAAGTGTTCGGATGTCCGCGCAGATTTCTTGAATCGGCGTTGGATCCCCTCCAAGAAATCCGCGCAGACCTCCGAAAGTTTGTGCTTACGCGGCTGGGTGTTTTTGTAACTCGAGCTCAACCCACGGCGCCCAAAGAATGGTGACGAAGACCGAGTTCACGTCCTGCCCACTGTGCACAGAACTTGCTGCCGGTGTCGCCGCCGACGTAGCTCGTTTTGGACATTCGCCGCCGGCCCAACAGCGATCGCCGTCGGTTTTGGACAGCGTTTGCTGCTGGGCATCGTTCCCACGCTTTCCGTCTTGTACACCCCTCTCGTCGGTGGCGCGTACCAGATGGGTGGCGCGAGGTGGCGGCGGGCGCTTCCAAGAGGGCTTGGGGGGGGCTTCCTGGGAGGCCACGGGAGGGGCTTCTTCCGAAGCGCTCTCGAGTTTAGAGGCTCTCAAGGAAGCTTCTTGGAAGCCTCTGGGCGCTTCTAAAAAGTCACCTGAGCGACGCAAAACAACGGGGTCGTCGTCGCCGGCATTGGCGCGTAAGCTGCCCGCGTAAGGTCTCGCGTAAGCGCCCTCGCTTCAAATGTGGCATGCCGCGCGGGCGGCCCGCGTAAGCCACCGCGTAAGGTCGCTACGTCATCTCGCGTAAGACCCACTTTTGATCGTCGCTCACCTGCCTTCTGCGAAGCTCACGCCGCCCCCTCGCGTACCCCCCCGTCTCGCGCGCGCCGCCAATTTTGCCACGAGGAAAAAGCAGTCACAAACACACATAGCAGTTGCGGTCCGCTGGGTTGTTTTGGCTGGACCTCGGGGTCCACCTCACGGGCACGGTGAGGTTGCCATTGGTCTGCTGAGTGGGTCGGTGTCCTCTTGGTTGTGGGGGGGCGAAAAAAAAACAACAACAAAAGGAAAATAGACTGGACAAGGAAGGGAAGAGGAAGCTCCAGGAAATGTGGAAAGAGTCGTGGAAGTCCTGGATGTCGTGCCGATCTGTTTGCGTCCCCCTGGCTCCTTTCGGCCGCCCCCTCGCGCGCCGCCGCCAACCTTCGCGCGTGCGCCGATCCCACCTCTCAGGTCCTCGCCGGCGAAGTCCGAGGCAGCCGGACAGAGGTCGGGAGCCTTGAGACGGAGGTCAGTGCAAACGGGGGTCAGCCAGAGCGCCGGATCTTACAGGATCCTGCAGGGCCAGGGTCGCACTGACCCGGCCGGGCTTGGGTGCAGGATCCTGCAGGATCTTGCAGGATCTTTCGCATTGACCTGGGCTTGGGCGCAGGATCTTGCAGGATTCTGCAAGGCCTGACTGACCGGGGTCTGGATTGACCCGGGTCAGAAGATCCCCGAAGAGGTATAAGATCGAGGTCGGTTCGGGGAGGGCATCCTAATGTTATGATGTTCCAACATATTGCAGTTAGTCTTGATCACCAGAAAAATGTCGAGCACCAAGAACGTACCGAGACTGTTTCTGGGTGCTCGAAATTATTTCTGGGATGTGGTCCTGAAGTGCAATGAGAGCAACATAATCCTGATGTTATCCGTGTTTGTTGGATGTTCTTGTGCATCCTGGGGAGGGTGCTCTTGGATGTCCTGTGTGTTTTGGCCGGCGGAGGGTCTCATGTTCTTGCAGGATGCGCTTCTGTTCTAGGTCCGACTGTACCCTCGCCGATCCACGATCGAGGTCTGGGGCAACGTCGAAGTTTAAGGCTTTTGGTTTCTGCTCGTGGGCCCTCGGCTGCTGTCCAGCCTCGGGACGCGTTGCAAGAGGCTGCGCCACGCCACGGGCGTTTCCGGGGGCGCCCCCCTCGTCCCGAGCGGCCGCCGGGGAGCGGAGGTATGACCCGAAAACCACGTGTGGATCGGCGGTGGCATCCGAACCCATCAACGACTCGGGCAACTCGATAAGCGGCGGGGCTGGGCTTCAGAATTCGTCGAGTACGCGGCGAAATCCAAACCCAACCGCCGCCTCCCATCGATTGGGAAGGCCTTGCGGTTCGTGCCGTCGACCCTGATTGAAGGGGGGGGACGACGACGACGACGACGACGACGACGACGACGACGACGACGACGACGACGACGGCGACGGCGACAGCGACGGCGACGACGGCGACGGCAACGGCGACGGCGACGGCGACGGCGAAGGCGGCGCTGACGCTCTTGAGCCGAAAGCTTGCCCCACCCCCGCCTCCCATCGATTTAGGAGAATCGATGGTTGGTGGGGGAAGGGTTCGGATGTCGCCACCTTCGGTCGACGCGCGCCCCAGGACAGGATCGAAGATTTTGCCGTCGTCGTCGCCGCCGTCGTCATCGTCGTCGCCGTCGCCGTCGTCGTCGTCGTCGTCGTCGTCGTCGCCCTCGTCGTCCCTGGCCCGCAGGAGGCGGACAGCGCCGCGGCGGAGGCCCGGCGCTACACCCGGAAGCTTGAGTTGCTGCAGCAGGACCCCGCCGCCCGGCCGGAGGCAGGCTGTGCGGGCTGCACTGAGACCGATCCCCAGACAGACTCGCGTCGTGAAAAAAAAATGCACGTCGCAGCTCGGCAGAGGCAGTCCGCACGCGCGCTCGGGCGTCGTGAAAAAGTCACGACAGGAGGTTTCTCATTGTTTTCGGCCTCAGGGGGCCTTCGCCGGGCCCCGAGGCCGTCGAAAACGATTCAGGACGAAAAACCGGTCCCAAGGGAAAGGGTCGGGACTTCTGGGGACCGCGCATTGGAAAAAACAGGACATCTCACGTCTGGGTCCAGGCGTCGCAACTTTTTTACACCGGGCGTTTTTGCCCGGTTTCGGGGCCCAGGACTCTCGCAGATCGATCCCGCTCGAGGGAAGCCGCAGAAAGATGGGGTCTGGGGCTCTGGTCATGATCATTTGCGCTGTTGCCTGTTCTTGCAACGCCGGATCTCCAGGATCTCTAGGCCTCCCAAGAGGGGGGTCGGAGCAGGTGGGGTCGGAGGAGCGCGCCGCATCGCCGATGCGGCTCGATGGGGGGCCCGATTTCCCCCGCGCCGATGGCGCCGATGCCATGGCCGACGTCGCCGGTGCACCGCCGAGGCATCGGCGATGCACCGCCGATGCGTCGGCGATGCGGCGCGACCCTCCGAGGGACCCGTTTTTGGGGAGGCCTCTCTTTGGCTGCGCTGCCCGACCACTGCAAGGAGAGGGCCCCCCCCCTGACACGGTCCCCTCGTGGAGGAGCTCCCGCCGGAGAGGGCCTCTGTCGCACCAGCGCGACGGCGCGAGCACGGCGCGGGGTGGTCCTGGCTGAAGTCGGGCGTGCCCCTCTACGGAATCTTCAAAAGTGGTCCAAAAATAGTCCCGGGACGATCTTTGTTACTACTTGGGGGCATTAAGTCCGCCTAGGGGTGGACGTGTCCCTCTACGGAATACTCAAACATGGTCCGAAAATAATCTGGGGACGATTTGTGCTACTACTTCGGGGCATTTTGCTGAGAATGCTCTGGCTATTTTCTGGCTCGCCCAGAGTCCGCCTGTGGGTGGATCTGCCCGACCCAAGTCTTGGCACGGCACCGGCTGTGCATCCCGGGCCGCGCCTCTACGGAATAGTCCAAAATGGTCCAAAAATAGTCCAGGGACGATTTGTCGTACCACTTCGGGGCATTCTGCTGAGAATGCTCTGGCTATTTGTGGGCTCGCCCAGAGTCCGCCTGTGGGTGCACCTGCCCGACCCAAGGCTTGGCACGGCACCGGCCGTGCGCCCCGGGCGGCGCGCCGACCGACGGCCCCTCGGCCGGGCGGGGGCCCCTCCCGGCAGGCCGCCGCCCGCGCGAGGCCAGACACCGGGGTCGTTTTTTCGCCTACCTCGGTGCGCGGGCTGCTGGCGTAGGGTCGCCCGTGGGCGCCCTCGCCTCCGACGTGGCGTGCCGCTCGGAGGAGGAGAAGGTGTACCCCCACCGCCACGCTGCCCTCGCTCTCCCCGAATGGGGGGCCTCCTGGGAGGCCCTCGTCGCCGCCGCCGGATTGGCCTCGAACTCCTGGTCAGAACGCACTCCGGGAGAGGTCCAGGGAGCAGCGGTATCGGTACCTTTGGGTTTCCCCAGCCGCGCTGGCGGCCCGCGCAAGCCACCGCGTAAGGCCGCTGCGCCATCTCGCGCAAGGCCCGTTCTTGATCGTCGCCTCGCTTGCCGAAGGCCGCCCGTCGTGATCCGTTCACGGCGCGAGGGGGTTGCTGACACGACGCGAGCTTGCCGCACGCAAAAGCGAAAGCCTGGACGTCCGCACCCCTCCGGCGGCCAGTGTGTGCGCTCCCGGCGCGGTGGTGCGGCGCTGCCGCAGCGTAATGAGAGCGGCGGCCGTGCAGCGCTCCTCGCCCAAGGGGGAGTTGGCTGCGCGCAGGAGTGACCCTGCTTGGCCACGCGCAGAGGGGGGTAGGGCGGGGGGGGAAGCCTTCGTAAAAGCACCCCTGCTTGTCAGAAGGTGCGGGCCTTGCCTACTTGTCGAAAGCTGTAAGGCCGGCGCCTTCTCAGAAGCAGCCTCCTCCTGAGAAGCCCCCCCCCCCCTCCCCCTGACCCCCCTTGTGCGCGCCGCCAACCTTCGCCGGAGCGACCCTTGGTGCGCGGCTTTCGGGGGGCGCGCGGGGGCCACACCCGATCGCGCAAGCCGCCACTGCCGCATCCCTCGCAGGAGTGACCCTTGTCAGGGGAGGGAAGGCCGCCCGGGCCGGACAATGGGCGTCTTCTGCACGGCCGGGGGCGTTTTTTTTTTTTGAACAGCCCCGCCCTGCTCGATTCCTTCAGCGGGGGCGTTTAGCAAACGGCTTCGCGCGTCGGGGTGGCTATTTTTGGGGGGGGGGATTTCGTTGCCCTCTGCTCCGGTGCGCGGCCTTCGAGGGTCGCGCGCGGGGGCCGCACCCACTCGCGCAGGCCGCCACGGCCGCTCCGCCTGGCGGCGATCGGCAGGCCGCGCACCAGAGGTCGCTCTGGCCCAGGGCCGCTCCAACTGCAGCGGGGGCCCCTGCCGCGAAGCACCCCGCGTGCCTCCCGGGTGCCCTGGGCTTCTTGGGTTCCGCTGGTTCTGCCGTGGGGAGCGTGACGCTCCCGCGCCGAAGATCGATGGACGTCCTGGGGTCTCAGGGTGGGGTCTCTTGCGCAAGGGCTCTCGTGGTCGGGACCCCTGCTGTAGCGTGTTGCCGAGGGGAGGGGAGGGGGGAGGCGGGACCGGATCGTGCGGACGCCCCGGCCTGGCGGTTGCTTGGTCCTCTGGCCAGGGGTGCTCCTGAGGCTGGCCTGAGCCGCATGTCCCCCCCTGGTCACCCCTCCCCCGAGCGAGAAGCGTGTTCGAGGCGCCTCCAGCGGAGCGACGCCTCTTCTCGCGCACCGTCCCACGCCCGTTCCCGGCTCCCGTGCACGGTCTCCTCCACAGACGTGCAGGCTCCAAGCCGAAGGGGGGGGCTTGGCGAGGAGCAGTGGAAGGAAAACACGCCCAGACCCCCGACGCCGACCCCCAGAGGTCTGGACCCAGTCCCAGGGACGGGTCTTTCATCCTGAGTCGTTTTTGGGCCCGGTAGGGGCCCCCAGGGGCCGAAAATAGCGAAAAGCCTCTCGTCGTGATTTTTTCCTGACTCGAGGGGTTCTGGGCACCCCAGACCCCTCGCTTCGTAACCAAAATCGCGACGCAGGGGTTTGGCCGATGTTCGGGCTCCGGGGACCTTCGCCAGGGCCTGGGGCCGTCAGAGAGCGGCTCGGGATGAGCAGGCCGTCTGGGGGAAGGAGGCCAGACACTTGGCGAGCCACGTTGTGAACAAACCCAGATCTCCCACGATCCCAGACCCCCTCGCGCTGCGAAAAAATCACGACTGGAGGTTCTTTGACCGTTTTCGGCCTCCAGGGGCCCTCACTGGGCCACGGGTCCGTCCAAAAACGACTCAGAAGAAGGGGTCCAGATTTTTGGGGGTCGACATTATATATGATTGGTTTATTGTCCCGGATGAAGAGCTCGGGGCCTCCAAAGGGTGCGATGACCACACCGAGTGGTGAGTCAGTGGGGATTCGGGGAAGCTGCACGCTTTTTTTGGTTTGGGTCGTTATCCAAGAATGTCTCGGGCGAACGGGCCTCCAGGGTCTCAAAACCGTGCGGTGACGGACCGTGCGGTGCGATCTCTTGGGGTTTTGAGGTCACCGCACAGTTTGTGGCGGCACCGTTTTGAGACCATCAAGAAACCGGCCCTGGGGGAAACCTTGAGAGTCTAGGACCGTCTCCTTCAGGACCCGTCTCTTTCATACCAAGTTGCCATGCCAAGGAGGGGGGAGGAAGAGGAGGAGGAAGAGGAGAAGGAGAAGGAGGAGGAGGAGGAGGAGGAGGAATGGGAGGAGGAGGAGGAGGAGGAGGAGGAGGAGGAGGGAGGCGGAGGAGGAGGAGCAGGGAGGAGGAGGAGGAGGAGGAGGAGGAGGAGGAGGAGGAGGGAGGAGGAGAAGGAGGAGGAGGTGGAGGAGGAGGTGTCCAGGCTTAAGCTGTTCAGGGGGCGACCCCATTCGCATGCAAGGGAAAGGGGTGAGCGACCCCAACTCCGCAAGGGCATTAAAGAGGGGGTCGGGGGCAGGGGCTTCTAAAGGCCTCCCAGCGAGGCCGCCTCCTCCCACGAAAGTCCGCAAGCTTCAAACCTCGCTCAGCGTCCAGCCTCTAGGAGCCCTGGGAGTCCCGAGGAGCTCGGACCGAAGGAGAAGCAGGAACAGCCGAGAAGGGGGCCAGGACCCTGGACCACTCCTGACGCTGAGCGAGGGGGGGCCGTTTTCCGGTCGACTCGACCCTCCCCATATCTCGGAGACTTGCCCTGCCAAAACAATTCAACATGCTTGCAATGGCCCTTGCTGGGCTTACCGTTGCACACTGAGTAGCTGCCACTGCCACCCCTGGACGGCCGCTTGCGGGAGCCCCTGGCGTATCCCCCGCACGAGGAACAGTTCAGAGTAATACCCACCTATCTGAATCCACGGCCTTCTCGAATTTTCGCTCACCACAACTTATGCCCCCTGAACTTCCAGGCCTCCTTGGGTTCCCCCAAACCTCCCGTGGGGACCTCGGGTGGGCCCTCCTCAGGGGCCTGCACAGCAGAAGACGGACCTGGACCGCCAGCAGGAGGCTGGCACGCTTCGGGGATGGAGAGCCAAGGGATCACACCCGGGGGAAGCGTGGTGAGCCACTCCAGGCCATCATGGTCTGCAAGCTGGCCAGTGCTGATCAGCACCTGCTGGGAGGTAGCGAAGCTGACAGCCTCACGGGCGAGAGAGGCACATCCTTCGATCACCGGCGGCGGAGCTTGCGGCGCACGGAAGGGCTCAGCTCAGCGCTTGACTTGGCCAGGCGGTCGGCGTGAGCGTTTCCTCTAAGCTGCTTGTGGGTTCTGGGCCCCTCCTGGGCGGCCTTCTCGGTCTGGTGAGAGTCCACCCCCACGAGCCGCACATTGTCTAGCGCCTCGGAAACCTCCGACCACCAGCGGCACCCAGTCTGGCTCTCGTTGGCCGAGGCTGGAAGACGACTGGCCACAGACACCGTGGCCGTGCAGCCAACGTGAACCTCAGCTCCTGCCTCGAGCACCGCGTGGAGCCCAAGCTGCCGAACAGCAGAGTCCTCCCCGCCCCTGGAGCTCCGATGTCGGGGCCTCGGCGAGCGGGAGACGACCCCGTAGAGCCCATACGAAAGGTCCCCATTGGAGCTGACGGCGCAGACCGACCACCCCGCGACCCTGAGCCTTGGGAAGTTGACCTCGTGAGAGGACCCATACACCATCACAACTCGAGGGGGGGGCGCCCGAGCCAAGAACTGGGCCCAGGAAGGAGGCCTCGAGCGAACAGCTCTCCAGACTCCTCCGTCATTCCCGAAACCTTCCAGCACCTCACCGAAGATGTGGTCCTAAGTGATGTCGTTGCCATCTTTCGAAAGCAGGGCAGCAGAAACGGTGATGTTATATAGAGAGCCTCTGGCCCCATGGCAAAGTTTGCACGCCGTGCCGATGCCTTGCGCATGGAGCGCCATCCTCGTCTGTGTCCAATAAATGTTCGCAACGATGCCTTTCAAAGTCTGCCCGTGGTGATGATGCCAGATGTCCGACGAGGGCTGGTTGAGTAGCCAAGACATCGCCTTTCCAGGCTTGGAATTCAGGCTGACGGTCCTGCTCTTCCCTCGCCGCGTGCTGCCTGACAGCCTGTCGAACTTGGCCCAAAGAACGGGGGCGAGAACCTCGGGATGGACCAGGAGCGCCCCAAATCATCAACCAGAGACTTGCCATGAAAATCGAAACGCCTCTTGATTCTGTCCAAAGTGGCCATAAGTGCTGCTATGGGATGCTTGACTTTGAGCCAGGGATTAGGTGAGTTCAGCACCTCCGCACCGTCCAGGAAGCCGACCTCAGTAACGTCCATGCCATATGGCGGTTCCAGACAACGCTAACAAAGTCCTTTACTGCCTGGGCCGTCGCGACCTCTAGGGGGCCTTTTCCTGGCCAGGAACGGGTCGAGCAGGAAACGAAGCCCGAGAGCACAACCTGGACGGAGTGGGCCCGCTGCTGTGGCCGCCTGGGCTCTGAGCTCTCGGAGGGCCGTGTCGGCTGTCCCGCTGATGGAGGAGCCCCGGATCGCTCCTGCCGGAGGTCCCGTCCTGCAGACCCCGGAGACGGCGGCACCCGTTCCCAGACGGCTGAGCTTGCTGGTCATTTCTCTTGACCTCTGAGATCCTCTGGAGAACCGTGGGGGGGCCCCTGTTTTCTCCGTTGCCTGAATCCTGTCCAAGGTCCCGATGTGCGTCCACGTGGTGCTACAGGAGGCCAAGGCCTTGCATCTTGGAGCCGCTTGGGCTGAGGTGGCCTAGCATTGGCTCCGGCCAGCAGGGGGGGGGGGGGGAGAAAGTGGCCCCCTCGTCGCCACGGCTGGACGCGGCTCGAACAGCTGGGTCGGTTCCGACCCCGGGAGGGGTCTGGGGCTTGATTGCGAGGGGAGTTGCCCTCGTCCCCCTGTCCTGGCAGATGTCCTCAGGGCCCATCCAGCACAGGACCCCTGGCCGCCTCCAATTCGCATCCCCGATCGCACCCCGCCAGACCTCCCCGGAGCTCCCGAGATTGGCGTCCGTTGCGCTGTTGGCATCGCCCAGTGAGGCGCGGTTTCGTTTGGGTCCCGTTAAGACATTATTCCTCTAATTAGACCTCGCAGGAGTCAAGGAAAGTGGCGACAGTCGTTCAGTGGGCAACGCCCAATGAGGCGAGGTCTTGTCTGGATCCCCGAGCGGGCTCACGAAAGTGGCGACAGATGCACTGCTGGCAGTTGCCAGTGAGAGGAGATCTGGTTTAGATCCCCGCAAGGCCGCAAGAAGAAGAGAAGGAGGAGGGAGAAGGCGGAAGGGCGGGAGGGAGGACGAGCAGCAGTTTGTTCAAAACCTTGATTTGACACAGGAGCGCTGGAGGAAGAAGAAGAAGAAGAAGACCCACATTGATTGGGGCGGGAGGAGGCAGGGGGGAACTCGAGGGAGATGAGGAGGAGGAGGAGGAGGAGGGCGAGGGGGAGGGGGAGGAGGGATGAGGGAGGAGGAGGGGTTGGCAGAAAAAGAGAGGAGGACAAAGGGGCTGGGCTCACGCAGTCAGAACCGCCTGCGCGAAGCCCGAAGGGGGCAGGAGGGGGAGGGGAAGGCAGCATGCTCAGGAGGATCGAGGAGCAGGAGAGGCCCAGCAGGCGAGGAGAGCGGGAGGGAGCAAGCTCTCCTCCCCCCCCTTGCGTGGCTCACTTCGATTCCTCCGACTCGATCCGGTTCGATTTCGATTTCGATGGCCTCCGATTCCGAGTCGATTCGACTTCGGATTCCGATCTGGCCTTCGATTTCTCAATGGAGGCCTACCAGCCTGCCGATTTCCGCCGACTCGATATTTCCGGACTCGGCTGCTGATTCCCGCCGATCCGATTCATTTCGATTGCCGATCCGATTGATCGGTTCGATTATGGGATGTCCTGCCCCTGGCAGGAGGCGGCGGACAGGGACCGCCAGCAGCTCCGCGCGTCCCACAGGGCGCCCGCGGGTTGAAATCGGAAGCCGCCTGCGCCGCGCTCGCGCCCGCCAGGTCCCCGCCCCCCCCCGTGCCGGGGGGCGTATACCTTAAGAGCACGCGGCGTGTTGTGTTTTCTCTGGCGCGGCACCGTCTCCGTCGCGCGGCAACTCGTGACGTGAGCGTGCGTGGATGCACGGTTTAGAGTTCATTTGAAACATATGTTTTTGGTGTTCGTACCACCGTGCTTATAGCACATGTATATATACATTCATACATCTAAACATACGTTTATATAGACATATATGTATATATATATGTGTACACACATACATATATGTATATGTATATACAGAAGTCTACGTAGATGTAAACCTATATATATATGTATATATATATATGTGTGAATACACATATGTAGAAGCATAAAAATTGATGAATATATTAAAACCACCACCACCCCCAGGGGCTCCGCCCACTCCGCAACCATTTCTGGCAAATCCCCAGTACCGCCCTCCCGGGCGTCCAAGAGAGCCCCCGGAGAGCTTGAAGACGGCCCGTGAAGCCCCCGAGACAGCCCAAGAGTGCTCCAAGGCTGTCCAAGCCGACCCCCCAGCGGCTCTGGAAGCCCCCAAGAGCATTCAAGATCGCCCCGAGAAGCTTCCAAGAGTCCCCGGAGAGTTCTGGGGAAGCTCTCCAGTGGCCACAATCATTGAAAAACCATTGAAAATCAATAATTGTATGTTTTATGTTTTCTCACATTTCCGCCTCCGGCACGCTTCCGAGACTTGCGCATGCCACCCAAGAGGGCTCCAAGACGCCCCCAAGAGGCGTCCAGAGCGGCTCGTGGGGGCATGCGCAAGCCTCGGAAGCGCATCGGAAACAGAAATGCGAAACACACAAATTGCAAACGTTTATAGCTTGTGCAATGATGTTGGCCTCTCGAGGGCTTTCCCAGAGCTCTTGGAGGCCTCTTGGAGGCCTCTTGGGGCAGTCTTGAATGCTCTTGGGGGCCTCCAGAACCAACTTGCAAAAACGGAGAGCTCCAAATTTGTTTCAGAAATAACAAACATATTAAAAAAACGCCCCCCCTCTCCGTTCCTCCTGTCCCAAGTAGGTTTTTTCAATAATGTTGGGCTCTCGAGGGCTTCCCCGGAGCTCTTGCGATCATTGGTGCTCTTGGGGGCCTCTAGACCAACTTCAAGAAAAATAATTCCTCAAATCCATTTATCTTCAAGATCGTCCCCCCCACCCCCCCCTCCGTTCCCTCCTGTCCCAGACTTTGGCGTGCCTCAGAGTGCGTTTCAGTTGCCCCCAGCCCTCGCTGTCCGTTCTCCTTGCTCTCTCTCTCTCTCTTTCTCTCTCTCTCCTGCTCTTGGTTCTCCTGCGTCTCCCGTTCCGCAGCCTTCTCCTTCCTCTCCTCCTCCCTCCTCCACGTTGCGTCATTTTCCCTCCTCCCTCCCCCTCGTCTCTCCTTCACGCCTTCCTCTCTCCGCCTCCCTCATGCGATTCCATCTCCTCCATCCCTCATCCTCATCTCTCCGTCACTCCTTCCTCCCTCCGCCTCCCTTGCCCAGCATCCTGCTCTACTATGAGGTAGGAGACCCAGCTTTACAATAAAAGGGTATCCTTCAGCTTTTGTTCAAGATCTACTCCCCCCTCCTTTTCCTCCTGTCCCAGGCCTTGGCGTGCCCCTGAGTGCGTGCACGTTTTAACAATCCCTCGCTGTCAGTTGTCCTTGCTCTCCTTGTTCTCTCTCTCTCTCTCTTTCTCTATTTCTCTCTCTCTCTCTCTATGCATATATATATGCGTCTCTCTCTCTCGTTCTCTCTCTCTCTCTCTCTCTCGCTCTCTCTTTCTCTCCTGCTATTGGTTCTCCTCTGTCTCCCGTTCCACATTAATATCGTTTCTCTTCTCTTCCCAACTCCCCGCTGCCTCATTTTCCCTCCTCCCTCTTCCTCGTCTCTCCTTCACGCATTCCTCTGTCCGCCTCCCTATTGCTTCAAGACGGCCCAAGAGGTCCCCAAGACAGTACCAAGACAGCCTGATGGGTCCCCGCGACGGCTCGAATACGACGCAAGATGCCGCCAAGACGGCCCAAGAGGCCCTCCAGACGGCCCAAAAACAGGGGCAAGAGCGGGGATCCAAACCGACATTTCGAGCCGAGATGCCAAGAGTCCCGGGGAGGCCCCCGAGGCGCTTAAAAAAAGTCCCCAGAGGCCACGAGGAGACCCCCAACAAAAACCGGAGAAGCCCCACCCACCAGAACCCCCAAGAACGTCCCCCAAAGGCATCCAAAGAGATTCCCAGTATTGTTGTGCCAGGCTTTTAGGGACTCTTGGACATCCCCTCTTAGGCTACCTTGTGTCCTCCCCGTGGCTGCCTTGCACGACTTCCTGGAGACTTAGTCAGCGACTCCTGAAGCGTCCATCAGGAAGTACGCTTCCATACGATGATCCTTGCGGGATTGTGTCCATCCTCATCTTTTCTTGAGGTTGGCTTGGATTGCGCTAGAAACTAAGCGCGCGAAAAGCTCGCACGTGGTTCTAGTGCGTATAGAAATATACATACATATACATGCGCGTCTACATATATACACATATATAAATATGTGTATACACATACGTGTGAATATGTGAAGGAACTAGTTTAGCTACAATTTCGAAGTGGTGGTCCGAGCTTCGGTTTTGCTCCGAATGGTGATCGTAGCCCGAAACCTTTTCATACGGCAACCCAGAGTATTGCACATATGTGTAGTTCGATTCATGGCACGTATGTTGGTGCTAATGGTGTTCCGTGCGGACCACGTGTCCGCTGTTTGTTGCGTGGTGTTCTTATGAGGCCGCGTCAGAAGTAGTGTAAAATGGATCACCTGACTGACCCTCCCACATAGTTTACACCACAGCGTACAGAGCATAGCTTACATAGCATAGCTTACACCACAGAGCTCACACCGAATAGCTTACACAACGTTGAGTACACCACATGGCTTGCACAACGTAGGTCGCACCGCGCAGATCAGACCACATAGCTTAAGCCGAATAGCTTACACAACATTGCGTACACCTCATAGCTTGCACAACGCAGTTTACACCGCGCAGATCAGATCACACCACCTAGCTCACACCGAAGAGTTCAGACAGCATAGCTTACTTCACATAGTTTGCGCGACCTAGTTATCTTGCACCGCATAGCTTAAACAACACAGCTTACGCCACGTAGCCCTCGCCTGCACAGTGCAATAATCCATTGTTTCGGCGCAGCGCTGGCTAATGCACATGAAATCTGGAAGCTGTGAACGTGTATGTTAGTCAGCGTGGACCCTAAATTGTAAGCGATTGCACCGTGCAGGTGAACGCTATGCGATGTGAGCTAGGTGGTGTAAACTGTGCTGTCTACGAGTCGGTGTGCAAGGTATGTGCCGTGAACCATGCCGTGCAAGCTATGCGGTGCAAGCTATGCCGTGGAAGCTATGCGGTGTAAGTTGCTTGGTGTAGGGCATGGTGTGTAAAGTATGCGGTGTGTGTGCAACCAATGTTGTGTAAGCTATCTGGCGCCAGCTATGGTGCGTGAGCCTTGTGGTGTGATGTATGTGGTGTGCGATGTGCGGCGTGGGCTGCGTTGGGTAAGTTACGCTGCTGTGTTGTATAAGATGTGTGGTGTGCACGTTGTTGTTCAATAGATGTGACATGAGCTATGTGGTGTGAGCTGTGCGGTGTAAGCTATGTGGTGCTCCCATACGAGCTTCAAGACAATGCACATGCAACCCCTCGACAGGGGATCACCGCAATCAGCCCGCGACTAGCCCACGCCCAGATGCCGAATCCCATGGGGTGGACACATGGCGCACGTTGTGTCCAATTGGGTTGCCCGCGAATGAAGTTCGCCTGCCCGCGTAGACGCCAGCATGTTGAACGTCTGCGTGTATGTAGGTGGTGTAGATGCTGACGCAGATGTTGTCAACGATTCGATGTAGACGTATGGAATGCATGTTGGATTCGGTTGGTGGGCTCCTTCCACGGGAATGATCGTGGGTTTTTTCGCGGAACGGGAGGAGAGGGGGGGAAGAGAGAGAGAGAGAGGGCGAGAGAGAAAGAATAAGAGAGGGGATAGTTGATGGGGGCGGTTCCTTCGCGCGAGGCGTTTAGACATCTTGGAGGGGAGCACAAGGTCTAATTCGCAATTTCATGGTATCGGTTTCTACATGGCAGCCACAGAGTGCATCCGTATTGTTCGCGAAACCTTTGACATCCGTGGAAGAACAACGAAACAGTACAAGTAACGTCAAATAGCCCGTGCGGCATTTAACAAACAAACATGCAATTACCCAAGGTTTTCGGGGACCCAACTTGAGGCTGGAGGGATGAGCGAGGCAGGTGAAGCGAAAAGCGAGTATAATGCCGCGACACGTACAAGCAATTCGAAGACGCAGTGGAGCCACGATTTTTGCGACAGCCTGCACGAGTAATCAACGTTGCGTTTTTTCATGAAAGAATGTCGAGATATTGGTGGCATCTGGGCGGGGGGGAATGGGCGGGAGAGCCTTGGAGAAATGAGCTTGCCGAAAGCCGCGGGCTCTTGTTCGTTAAAGGGTGTGACGAAGACGCTTAGACGTTTTGTAGCGTTGGAGATATTTAGTATTGGTGTCACAGGGATCGTAGCTCCGAAACATTTTCGTTGTGCTTGTCAGTGTACGAATGCCTTAGTGCGCCTACATTCACATCCCTCGCACATCCCTGCAGCCCCAAGTGCGGTTACCGAAAAACTTAAGTTGTGTTTCTCTGTTGTGTCAAGTGATTAATTGACGCGTTGATGTTATGTGTTCGAGGGGTGTCACAGGCTTCGTGAAACAACATTGAGGAAGCATGTGGCTGTCATTCGAAATCCACGGAGTCAAAGCGGAGACACATGATCATTGTGAATCTCAGAACAAAAACATCGCGCGAATGAAGGGTCCTCCTCCGCCGATCTCCTTTTTCTTTTTCCCTCTGTAGCATTGTCTCTCTGTGTCTCTCTCTCTCTCTCTCTTTCTCTCCCTTCCTCTCCATCTCTCTCTCTCTCTCTCTCTCCCTCTCGCACAAGAGAAATCAAAATCAAATCCGCCAGGAGAACCGTACAAACGAATTGAGAATATTTCGTGCTTACATGAGCACGTTCGTCAATGATTGCATCAACCTATACAGTATCATTTACATCACATCTATATCAACGTGATGAGCTCGGAGGTCTCTCGCAAAGAATCCAAAAACACAGGTTCTGAAATATCACGATTTCCCGCCTCTGCAAGTATGAGGAGGAAGAGTGGAGGAGGAAGGGGAGAACAGTAACAAGCCCATCGATTCGAGTCGACCGGCTCGAACCGATTCGATTCCGATATTCCGACGATCCGATTTGGCCCGTTGTACGCGTGGCGTTGTTGTGGATTTTGACGCGGCCGATCCGATCCGATCCCGACTCTGTTCCCGTGTGGCGCGATGCGACGCGCGTTCTGATTCGATCCGATGTCCCGATTCGTTGTGTTTCGGGAGGGGCTAGGACGAGGATAAATCCGTTCCAGAGCGTTCTGGAACGCTCGCGGAGCGCTCCTGGACGCTCTGAGAAGACCACGGCGCCCGAGACGTCCTCCAGAGCCGCCGGATCTCAGAGATCCTCGATGCATCCTCACTCGAATTCATAATCGCCCGGATTCGTCTTAGTTTTCGGATTTTGCTTCTGTCGGCGGCGCGCAGAATGGGGTAGGGGGAGGGGGGCAGGCTTCTTAGAAGGAGGCTGCTTCCCAGAAGGCGGCGGCCTGAAATCTACAGACAAGGCCCGCGCCTTCTAAGAAGCAGGGGTGCTTCTAAGAAGCCTTCCCCACCTCCCCCTACCCTTAGGTCGGGCATGTCCTCCTACAGGGGGATTTGGGAAGAAACATGAAAAATTGTCATCCCGGAAAAAAAGCAGAAAATAGCAACATATATGTAAAATTTCGTCCCCAACAATTTTTTTACTATTTTTGAATTTTCCTCCTGTAGAGGGACAGGCCCGACTTAACCCTACCCCCCCGTGCGCGCCGCCAGCTCTGCTCGGGCGCAGAGCTGCGCACGCGCACCGAGCCTGGGCGGGGCCCGTCCTGGACCCAGGAGGCCCGTGCACTCGCCTCCCCGGCCGAGGCCCGGAGGGCGCTTTTTGTTGCACCGGGTGGGCCCGGGCGGGCTCTGCGCAGGTGCACGCGGCGGGGCGCTCGTTGCAGCCGGACCGAGGCATCAATAAGTTCGAGGCCGGTGATCGTTGTTTATTCATGGTCTTACCGATCGGCGCGGGCCTTCGCACCCCCCCTCCCCCCCCCCACCATGGAGTAGATCTTGGCTGTTTGGGGCGCCTGTTTCGAGCAGGTGGAGTCTCCCCTCATAGGACCCACTGCTGCAAACAGTCGCACTAAGCAGAGGTCCGGAGCCAGACCCCCCCCTCCCCCGCCCCCCTTCCGCCCAATGTCGAAACGCCGAATTGAAAAAACGCTCACGCGTTCGTTGCAGCCGGACCGAGGTATAAGTAAGATCGAGGTCGTTTCGGGGAGGGTGCCTTGGTGCTCTTCGTTGTTGTTGGATGCTCTTGTGCCTCTTGGGTGGGAGGGGCCCTCGAACGCTCTTCGTGTTGGCCGGCGCAGGGTCGCATGTTCTTGAAGGATGTTATTCTGGCCTAGGCCTGCCTGTAAGGAATATGCACAGGAGACTTCAGATCCTGGAGAAAACCCTTATCTGAAAAGGGCGGCGGTGACACCTATGGCCAAGCCAAGATCGGATGGGCCTGGGCAGGATCGGCGTGGGTGTAGACGGTGCGGGCGGTCGTTCAGGAATGTGCCCCTAGGAGGCTACAGACCCCGGAGAACTCCTTATCTGAAGAAGGCGGCGGTGACGCCCACGGCCAAGCTGAGGTTGAAGCCCTACCGGCTTCCATGCCCTGGATTCCTACACAGACACAATTAATCGTCGATTCCCAGAAAAATACCGGAAAATATGAAAAGGGGGGAAGACGAAAACCCAAAAAATATGAGTGAATGTGGGGAATTTGGGGATTTGTTTCTGTTTACTTGTGTGTCCCAGGGCCCTTTTACGTGTCCAGTGCCCTCGCCGTAGTTCTCTGTCTTCTGCTTGCTGGGGACCCCCCGATGCCTCGTGGGCCCCCCGGGGACGTGGCGCCGCGGCGATGGGCCAGAGCCCCCCCCCCCGCGTCGCGCCTGGAGGCGCAGGCGCGCCTGGACCGCACCAGGAACAAGCTGATAACAGCGGAGCGGACAGCCGAGGCCCCTGGGCGGGGAGGCAGGGAGGGTGGGTTGGGGGGAGGGAGCCTCCTCCTCCTCCTCATGCTCGTCCTCCTCCTCCTCCTCCTCCTCCTCCTCCTCCCCTCCTCCTCCCCCTCCTCCTCCTCCTCCTCCCTCCTCCTCCTCCTCCTCCTCCTCCCCTCCTCCTCCTCCTCCTCCTCCTCCCTCCTCCTCCTCCCTCCTCCCTCCTCCCTCCTCCCTCCTCCCTCCTCCCTCCTCCTCCTCCCTCCTCCCTCCTCCTCCTCCCTCCTCCTCCCCTCCCCCTCCCTCCTCCCTCCCCCTCCTCCCTCCCCTCCCTCCTCCCCTCCTCCCTCCTCCTCCTCCCTCCTCCTCCTTCCTCCTCCCCCTCCTCCTCCTCCTCCTTCTCCTCCTCCTCCCTCCTCCTCCCTCCTCCTCTTCCTCCTCCTCCTCCTCCTCCTCCTCCTCCTCCTCCTCCTCCTCCTCCTCCTCCTCAGACCTGGCGGACACTCTGTCATTTCATGAACAACGAGTACCAACTACAAAGGTAAAGACCCAAGGATGGTTCAGCAGGCCCCAAGGAGGACGAGGAAGGGAAAGCAGGGGCAGGGAGGGGAAAGAAAGGAAACGACGAGAGGGAAAAGGACGGGCCCAACCTGAATTTAGTCCGTGGGAGGAGCCCCCTCAGGAGCTTGGACCGCTCCGACGACTTCTGGGGGGGACTCGCAATGACCAGCGAGGCGGGCGGTTGCTTCGCATGTTGCGAAGCCTCCGCAGTCCACGCAGAAAATAACAGGGACATCCGTCTCCACCACCCGAACCCAGTGGAACACATGCCGCTCACCTCCTTGGCCGCTCAACAGAGCGGACAGGGTGGGGTTCGGCCTCGAGCACTCCGTGGAGGTGTCGGGCGTCACGCTGGCCCTCGCAGGCCCCCGAACACGCTTGAAGCGGGCCTCAAAGTTGGGCCAACACGACAACACTGGAACCATTCCCAAGGCCAAGCCCGCTGGAAATCCAACAGCTCCCGGGGGGCAAGGTCAAGAGCCTGAGCAGCAATCTTACCCAGTGATCCACCTGAACAGAACCAAGATGCCTGAAAAATCCACGCCAGGAAAAAAGCCTGGAAGAACCCTCAAGGGCTCGGGCAGGGTCCCGAGTCCTAAGGAGCAAAGCGGCACAGTCCACAGCAGAAGGCTTCCGGATTTCGTCGGGCATTGGGAGTTCTTGTCTGAGACATCCGATTGCAAGCGCACCATGCTCAGCGTCGCTCGCCGCCTGCTGGAATTCTGACGACAAAGGACTGTACACTCCATGCACAAGCTGGTCTTCACGCACTTGGACAGCAGAAACACCAGCCCTCGCGACCTCTGCTTTCTCATCGTGCACGCAGGACCCGCCCGTGAAAAGGTCATCACTCGGGCCAAACTGAAACTCATCAACAGGCTGCCCGACACTCCCAAAAAAAACTGAGATGTCAGTCATCAACAAGCCTTGGAAGATCGGGCAACGGGACCCACAAACGAGACAGAAGCAGAGACTGGCTGGCCCCACGGAGTTGTTCTAAAGTCTCCCCGCCAAAATGCTCAGCACGCTTTCACGCCGGCAGAGGATGAAGACACTCCACCAATCTGTGTTTCAGGGTGTTGAAAAGTCGTTTGCACAAAGGGCATAGAGCGTCAAGCTGGTAGCCCCATTTCACTGGAGCGGAGCCTGTCGGGACCGTGCCCGATGAAATCTGACAGAACATGTGCAACTGATCCGTTAGAGGATGTTTGCTACACGCTGGATCGAGGGTAGCCATAAGCCTTGAGCGTTAAGATCCTTCCCCCATGAGCGCTGGTGAGCCTGGACCCTCTAGCCCTATGGAGATACACGTGACTCGTCACGTGACGGAGGCTTGCGAGGAAAAGTTTGAGCAACGTGTGAAGGTGGCTCAGTGAGAAAAAAATTGGCCCGAGTCCGCGAGACAAACGCAGCAGGGCCAGACCAAGACCAGCCGCCGACTTCAACCACAAGAGCATGCCCGAGATCGGCCCGCTGGAACGGTGCAACCACGGCGCCCGCTGAGTCTCTGCGAGCGTGTAGGGGAAGCCCCTACTCAGATCACCTGGGCTCAGCACATCTTGATGCCGTGGTCTGCCTCCTGTCGTCGATTCCGAAGTGCGCCACCACTCCCATGCATGCCGTTTGAGAGGACATGAGGCCAAGTAGAGGGGGTTCCCGCGGTACGTGTCCATGGCCCACTGGAGCTCCGAGAGACAACCTTTTTCGCCGAACCCCGAGGCCCTGGCGGCAGCCTGACGAATGCGCAGGATTCCCGCAGGAGCAGTCACCTGGACCTCCATCCCATAGGACACAGCAGAAAGGACGCCACTCTTGAACAGCCCAGCCCGAGCCTTCCTGGAGATCTCCAGGGCCCCTAAGCGCTTGTTTCGATGCCTGAATGTCTTGACCCTCTCATGGTGGCTCGGGCAAGCAGACCTGCCGATGCCTCCCAGCTGCGAACCGGGAACCCGAGGCTGTCTGGGGGGCCAGGAGGACGTCCCTGCCGGGAAGTTGAGGTCCTTCTTGGACCGCTTGGGGCAGAGACTTCGGATTCGCGACTGCGAGCATGACGGTCGCCAAGGCCTCGAGTTGCGCGACGCACTCGCGAGGGCTGAGGTGCCGCGAGAGAAGCGAGAGATCATCGACATGCGATCCTTGAAGAGTTCCTGGGTGCGCGCCCCCCTCCACGATGGCATTCCACACGAAAGCCTTCGCTTCGCACGTGGCCGAAGTGCCCCCTGCAGGTATCCCACGCGCGTCATACAAGGGGCCGGAGCAAACTCAATCGAGCAGCAAGTCACGCTTTCGTTGGTACGTTGACAGAGTGTAGAGCAGCACGTGCAAAGGAAAGAGAGAGAGAGAGAGTGAGATGATCCCCTGCTGGATTAACTCTCGGTGCCCCGTGCGCTCGTAAAATTGCTTGAGATCCGACAAGAGGCTAGCCCAACACACGTGTTCTCCAGCGGCCCTCTCAGATGCAACCGACTGCCTCCAGACCACGCCCAAGCTGCAGCGGCCCTGTCCCATAGAGAACTGAGGCCCAAAGCCCACTTGGACCTCCCAAGCCGCAAGGTTCACGATGGGTCTCCCCCTGGAGTCTCTCAAAAGCGTGGTAGTGGCCACTGGGCATCCTCCCCTTTGTCGGGCCCCCCCATGAGGAACACCACCAGCTTCTGGGCCGCATGGGGCCCCTCGCCAACCACATCCATTACATGACACATCCAGGATCAACTAGACAACGCCGAGTCTCCGAGCAGGCAGAAGTGCCTCGGGTGGACACCATCGGGGCAACACGCATAAGGGGCAACCTCTTCATAAACGCGAAAGCTTGCCCACCTCCACTGCTGGATGCTTCGCCGCGCCAGGATCCCCAGGATCCCCGAGAACGGCTCCCATCTTCAAGTTGACCCTGGCGGGCCCAGGGCCTCGCGGACTCCAAGACCGCGTCAACGACGACTGCAGGATGATCCTGCCCTCGGGGAGACGCGAGCCGCACAGCAGCGGGAGAGAGTAGACGGCGCCAAAGAGGCCCTCCACTCCGCCAGAAGCGCAGACAGAAAAATCCACCTCTAGCAGGCAGATCGCCCCCTTGCCGAAGTGGCAGACCGCGGTGCTTAGCCTCGCCATCAGAGGCCTGAAAAAGAGCACGCAACTTAAGCCGAAGAAGAACCCACTGGATCGCCCAACCAGGGAAAACAGCCGCACGCTTCTTCGTGGGCGAAGGCTCAGGAGGACGCGCAGCTTCGAACTGCAATGGTGCCCCACCAGGGGCCCCGACCTTTGGATTGCGTGCGCGGCAACAACAACCTCGTGCCATGCCTTCGGGACCCAGCCGTGGCAAACTTCATTGAGGAGCTCGACACTCCTGTATTTCTCGGCGTCGCCCCGCCATCCCCCAAACGAGGCTCCAGAAAATCCTGAAGCTTGGCATCCAGATCCGAGAAATCAGCCCCAGGAGGAA